CTGGGATGAAGGATTACCAAGTTAGTTCAAATGAATGACCTTGACCAACTTTCAAAGGTCAAAGGGGTCAAATGTCATAAAATCTTCAAACGACTTCTTCTCAATAACCAAAAGGCCCAGGGTACTGATATTGGGCCTGTAGCATGCTGGGATGAAGGGCTACCAAGTTTGTTTAAATGAATGACATTGACCCACTTTCAAGGTCACTGGGGTCAGATGTCTTAAAATCTTCAAACAACTTCTTCTCAATAACCAAAAGGCCCAGGGTACTGATATTGGGCCTGTAGCATGCTGGGATGAAGGACTATCAAGTTTGTTCAACTGAATGACCTTGACCAACTTTCAAGGTCACAGGGGTCAAATGTCGTAAAATCTTCAAGCGACTTCTTTTCAATAAGCAAAAGGGCCAGGGTACTGAAATTGGGCCTGTAGCATGCTGGGATGAAGGATTACCATGTTAGTTCAAATGAATGACCTTGATCCACTTTCAACCTAATGTCCTTGTTCAACAATCAAGGTCAGAGGCGTCATATGTTTAAATCTTTTAATAGGTTCTTATGAAATCTTAAGATTACAAGTGTTAGATTAATAACAGGTGAGCGATGCAGGCCCATTGGGCCTCTTGTTTCTATAACCAACTCACCCCTAAAGTCACATTTGCACCTTACCAAATCAAAGACTGGGCAAGTCCAGTTAAAATATGTAGGGGTGAGTGAGTTAAAAAAAGGGAGAGATAACTAAGGCACACCCCACAAGTACATGTATTATTGGTAAAGGAATAAAATATCCTTAAACCCTTTCACCCCTATGTAACTTTATTAGACTGTAGCATGCATTAATCTGGATGAGTCCATTATGGTCTACAGTGGTGAAAGGGTTAATTTATGTGAGCTTTATTATTTACAACTAGGACTTCACGGTCTTCCTATCGCCCCTAAGCCACCGTTAGGGTCACGATCAAGGAAGAGCTCTGTGGCCATAGAAGGGGGAGAGGATGCTATGGAGAGGCTTCAGATGTCGGAGAAACTAATAGCAGAACTCAACGAGTCGTGGGAGGAAAAACTCAGAAAAACAGAGACAATTCGGAAAGAAAGGTAACACCCCCGCAACAAACCTGCTTGTTAACACTTGAAAATTTTATATGTTATAAAATTAGAAAAATAGGTTTACATGTAGTTGTCAACTTTTTTCTCTCCAAGATTTCTCTTGGAAATCAAAAGAAAATCTTAAACTACGAAATGCATGCACCAGACTGCTAAATTGTAAGAATTAGGAAAAAAAATCCTTTTGATTATCATTATGTTAGGCTGATCATGTTGCAAATAACTTCAATATTTTTACTGCAAACATCATCAGTTTATTTCATCTTAATGATTATGCGATGTCCACATTCTGTTGACAGGGAGGCGGTCCTGGCAGAAATGGGTGTGGCTCTGCGTGAGGACGGCGGAACAATCGGAGTGTTCTCCCCTAAAAAGGTAACACAATATTCGTCATTATCAGCATACACTATTAGCAGTAGTTGTTGGAAAATAGTTTTCAGTGTCCGCGTATTATTAGGGACTGCTGTTCAACTTATATTTACAAAGTCAAACAACCTGTTATGTGACTTGAAGGATTCTATACCACTGCCAAAACCTGGAACAAGAAACTTCGAACTATTTTATCGACATGGCAATGGCTTGATAAAACATTTCTGAAAAAAAACATGACCTTGCAGAATGTTTATGAAAAATAAAAATAAATATAATAAACAATAAAAAAAAATCAGCAAAAATGTTTTGTGACAAAATATTTAACCCTTGATTTGGAAGAAGTCAATGTCAGAAATGCTTAATGTATATTTTCAATAAGCAGCATCCCGTATTAAAATCAAACCTGACTAATTATAAGTTTAACCTGTAACACTGAATTTCAAAATTTAAAGTAAATCTGCTTCTTTACGAAGGTAGCATGATATCTCAAATGTGTGATATTCACTTTTGTAAACTTTGTGCAACTTTATATACCTAGTCATATATAATAAAAACTCTGCCAAAGTCAAAACAAAGTTTCTTACTTAACTCATTCACCCCTAAAGACACATTTGAACTCTTCCAATATAAAGGTTTGAAAAGTTCATGATGAAATTTCAGGGGTGAATGAGTTAATTATTTTTATTTTTATTTTTTTTTCATTAATCTATTGAATAAGATAGGGTTTTCGCAGTAAACAATGCCATGAATAAAACCTCCCTTATTTTAACCCAAATTCCCTGAAAATGATTGTAAAATGAACAGGTTGGTCTCCAGGAAATCTGGCATGTTTGCTAATGTATTGTTTTTGTACGACAGTCGCCCCACTTGGTGAACCTGAATGAAGACCCGCTGATGTCCGAGTGTCTGATCTACTACATCAAGGCGGGACTAAGGACAATGTAGGGCACACAGATATAATGTCAAATGTGTTTTTTTTGTCGCGTGTTTTGATACTTGCAAAATTCATAAATGCATAACAATTGTGAATTCTAGTAACTCCAGAATGTTTTACACCGTTAGAATTAAAAATAATCCAAAAATGAAAACAGTAGTTTTCACATTATTGGCTCACGAGTCTAAAAAACATACTGTATACCGGAAAACTTTAGCCTAGTTAAATTTTCACCTTTTAACCTTTTTAACACTGTAGATCATAATGGACTCATCCATATCAATGCATGGTAGAGTCTACTAAAGTTATATATGGGTGAAAGGGTTAAATTATTGTTTTGCCCTTCACATTCAATTAATATATATATATATAATATTGTTTACTGATATTCACTGTAATTATAAATTTGCCCTCATTATAGAGGGTGTAAAAAAGTTGAAAGTTGAATGACAACGAAAATTTTCCTGGTATTCAATAATTTGCCATAAAGGAATTTTTGTGTCTTTTCAATAAAAAAAAAATGTTTGTATAGGAAAAACATATTTAAACACATGAAATAAACCAACATTACAGGACACCAGTGAAATGAATTATCACTTTTAGCGTTAGCTTTAATTAGGCTATGTAGTGAAGTTTTATCATTGAATATGTACAATTTTGTTATTATTCAGGGTTGGCCATGGAAAATCTTCCAAACAACATGACATTCAACTCAGTGGTTCTCACATCCTGGAGGAACACTGTTATTTCTCCTGTGAGGATGGTAAGTGTCTCAAGAAACTGAATTATAATCAGATGCTATCTGTTTAATTTGTATAGAAAGATATTTAAAAAAAATATGCTTGTCATTGGCTTTCATATACCTGTAAAATCATTTATTTTCGTGGGACATTTAATTTCGTTTATTTCGTGGATAACAAAAATCTACGAAATTAAATCCCCACGAAAACATCAATTTAGTATGATATAGATAGGGGGAAATCAGAAATCATCGAAATATGATGTCTTTGAAACAGGCTATATATAGCTAGTATATGAAAACCACCATTTTAACCCCACAAAAATAAATGATTCTACAGTACCCACTTTAAGCTTAAAACGGTTTTGATATTCTCACGATATTTTTTCAAAATTGTGTAATGCTTTGTTTATGACAGTATTTTCTGATGTGTACCACTATTGTGTAGATCCTATTTCTGGTTATGAGGTCTACTAGTGCCAGAAAATATTCTGTTTTGAGAAAATTCATTCTCAAATTGTTCCCATGGCCAGCTTCTTCTCAAGTATTTTCAGACTGTCAACCTGTGACAATGAAATGTATGCTACTGGTAGTTGGTATAAAGTGGTATTATATAAAGATGATAACATTTATAAGTTAATTTCAACATAAACCAATACATTCCAGAAGAGGAAACATTTATGGCGTTCCTTTTTTTTGACGTGTGTTTTCAGTAATTCACCCGTGTAAGATCATAAGAATGCTGATGCATAGAGCCATTTAATCACAAAATGATAAATTCATGCTGCCATATTTTCTGATATATTCGGTTTATTTTCAGGAACTGATCCCGAAAAACAATCAAATTAAATTTTTTGGGTGTTAATTTAGGCAAATTTTCAGGATCGATTCCGAAAAATTGTTTTCATAAGAAATGAAATTTGGGATAAAATATTACTTCTTGCCAACATATGGAAGAGATATTTTATCCTGTATTCCATTATCATTTGAGTCATATTTTCCTTTATCATTACTGTAAATTATTGCTATGTCATAAAATGCTCAGCAGATTTCAATTTTGCTCTTCTTTAGAAAAAGTCACCCTAACTCCCACCAAGGAAGCAATGTGTTATGTCAATGGGCGCCAGGTTACAGAGCCAACCGAGCTGAAGACGGGAGCTCGCGTCATTCTCGGCAAACACCATGTGTTCCGGTTCAACCATCCTATACAAGGTGAGCAGACGACACGTTATCACCGATATCTACTGGAGGTGTAGAATAGAAATATCACACATTATCACCGATATCTACTGGAGGTGTAGAGTAGAAAAATCACACGTTATCTCCGATATCTACTGGAGGTGTTGAATAGAAAAATCACACATTATCTCCGATATCTACTGGAGGTGTAGAATAGAAAAATCACACGTTATCTCCGATATCTACTAGAGGTGTAGAATAGAAAAATCACACGTTATCTCCGATATCTACTGGAGGTGTAGAATAGAAAAATCACACATTATCTCCGATATCTACTGGAGGTGAAGAATAGAAAAATCACACGTTATCTCCGATATCTAATGGAGGTGTAGAATAAAAAAATCACACATTATCTCCGATATCTACTGGAGGTGTAGAATAGAAAAATCACACATTATCTCCGATATCTAATGGAGGTGTAGAATAGAAAAATCACAGAAAAAGTCATCTCCGATAACACTGGAGGTGTAGAATAGAAAAATCACACGTTATCACCGAGATCTACTGGAGGTGTAGAATAGAAAAATCACAGAAAAAGTCATCTCCGATAACACTGGAGGTGTAGAATAGAAAAATCACACGTTATCTCCGATATCTACTGGAGGTGTAGAATAGAAAAATTACAGAAAAAGTCATCTCCGATAACACTGGAGGTGTAGAATAGAAAAATCACACGTTATCTCCGATATGTACTGGAGGTGTAGAATAGAAAAATCACACATTATCTCCGATATCTAATGGAGGTGTAGAATAGAAAAATCACAGAAAAGACTTTTTCTGAGTCTTCACTGTCTTTTCTCCCAATTCAGCATCCAGCCAAGGATGAGTTTTCTGTTAACTCCAAGGGAAAAGACAAGTTACACCAGCTTGTAACCTCACAATGAAAATAATTAAAGGATGTTCCTTTTCATTATTGAATGACGTTATATATCTGGGTGGTTTTTAGGAATGGGAAAAAAGAATCATTCCTTTGCCTTGAGGGTATGGCAAATACATCTCAACCCAAACAGTAAGATTCTTAAATGCCAACAACCCCCATTGTGTATTCTGCTTTCAGGTTTATCATTAGGCGACTTAGAGATCCTCATCCCTAATGTATTACGAGACCTCAGCTGAAATATCACACATGGCTAAATTTATATGAAAGATTTTTCAGCATTTTTGATGTCCGAGGAAAAGATTTTCTTTGAGGAATAATGAAGTTAATTTGAGTATGGTACTGTAAAATGAGAAGGGTTTGCTTTGGTTTCACTCTTGAACAAATCTACACATCTTTCAAAATGTGTAACAAACTGAAAATTGAACGAAGGGCAATTGAAGGCTTTTGAAATAAAAGTAAGGGGTACATATCTACAATATCAATGTAAAACACAATCAATACAATTTACAGTTTTTTTATGATAATAAATAAATTTGACACATGTTGAACTTGAGTGGTACATATACAAATTTGTGTTCTGTTTCTACAGCCAGAAGAAGTCGAGCATATTTACTGGATGAAAACCCACCTGACAATCCCAGTAGTAAGTCTTTATCAAAAATCTTCTTAAAATGGTGTCAGAAGCAAAGACATTTTTAACCCTTTCATCACTGTAGACCATAATGGACTCACCCAGATAGATGTATGGTAGAGTCTACTAAAGTTATTTAGGGGTGAAAAGGTTAAGATCAAAGTGTTTGGATTATGCATCACGCATTTAAACGTTGCAACCATTTTTTTCATAGTTGTTTAATATTACATCACTACTATTATTATTCTGCACTTTCTGTTCTTAAATAATTCAATGATAACCATCACTTCAAATACAAAAGATTTTATTTATTTGAAAAGCAGACATAATTTGTTCAGTCAGAACGAAAACATTTCATTTACATTACATTTAGGGCATAGACTATGCAACTAATATTCAGTACCATTTTCCATGCCTCCTGTTTGTATTTAAAACATGCAATTCCGCTTTGTTACAGCGGAACCTGTGGATTGGACGTTTGCCCAGCTGGAGCTTTTGGAAAAACAGGGCATAGATCTGAGGACAGAAATGGAGCAAAGGTATGCTAACTGTAATATTTACGGTAATCATATACCAGAAATAGAGAAATAAGTACAATTCCTTCGATTTTGCATCTTTCGGATCCCCATACCACTGCCATAAAATGAAGCTTCTTTCGAAAAATAGGATGACTAGCTTTGAAAAATCATTTTTTGAAAAGAAAAGTATACCTTGCAGGACTTTAATGAAAACATAATGTAGCTGTAATCAAAAAACGTGTTCCGAGTGTAAAATATTCTGTGCAGGATTCGAACCCTGGACTTCGGATTGTTATACTATCGCTGTAACCTGGACAACAGAAGTGTACAAGCCCAAATGTGCTACAGTTTTATCCAAACTAATTAGTGGGAGGTTACTGTATATAGAAAAAACGGCAAGGAAGTGAGATAGGAATCCCTTAAATGATCCACTTTAAGGTGTCGGATAAGAATGATAATTTTTTTCCAACTCTCCTATGTAAAATCATTTAATGTTCGAAATTGGTTTTACCTCTGTGAATTTCCTTTCATTTTGCATAGACATTTTTCTTTTGCTGTAATTTGAACTGAAAAATATGTCCTCCCCCCCTCTGTCAGGCTGTGTGTTTTGGAGGAACAGTATAAGAAAGAGAAGGAGGAAGCCGACCAGCTGTTTGAGCAGCAGAGGAAGGACTACGAGATCCGTATCCAGTCCCTCCAGGAACAGGTGGAGCGCCACTCCATGATCTCCAGCTTCGCCAACGTGGAAGATCTGCTCTCGGAGGAGGCGTATGTACAAGGTAGACAACTCTGTCATTTTGATGTTCATGGCTAGACAATTCCGTCTTTCTGTATTGCAGAGTTATCTGCTCTTGTGAGCAGGTATTGATTGTTACATCTTTAGTTTGTGTGAGAAAATTACGTCGTTTTCTCAAAAATTGATGACGTTGCTCTCACAAACAATTGACGTAACAATCGATACCTGCTATCAAGAGCAGATAACTCTGCAATATGAAAAGTCAGAATAAGGGTAGCCTGATAGACTGGAACTATTAAAATCTCCAGCTGGACTAGTGTTTCTAAAAGCTGTTTACCCAAGTGACTAGTTGAAATTTGATATGGCTTAATATTGAATAATATTGGGGTAGTGGAATTTGCACATGGACTATTAAAACTTGGAAACTACTACCCCAATGGACTAGTGGTATTCAGAATTAATTTCTGGCCCTGGTTATGTTTAGTATATTCAGTTCAGTATTTCCCCAGGCCATTATAGATGCGTGCAGCATTCCGTGCTATTTTGTCGGTACCCTGTGTAGTTTTAGTTGGAAATTCAGAAAAAAAACCATGAAGGATATGGGGAAGATTAGGCCTGCTGTATGTATGTGGTGACTAATGTTGGGCCCCTGAAGATTCCAGGTTTTCTACTCATTGGACATTAACCCTTTCAACCCTATTTAACTTTACTTAACTCTTCCATGCTTTGATCTGGATGAGTCCATTTCGGTCTACAGGGGCGAAAGGGTTAAAGAAACCAAGTGACCTGCTACCCCCTTGCAACTTTTCTTTTCTCTCCTCTCTACTCTACACATGTAAATTTGAAAGAGTTGATGACAAATTCAAATATATCATAAAATATTTAGAAAAAATTGAAATTTACCTGGTAGCTACTTTTAATTCATTTCAAGAAATCATATCCTCCTGTATATGATGTTTGAAGCAAATACATAAAAACAAAAATTTACAAAAAAGTATATATTTAAATCTGCTACAGTCACAGTAATCATGTTTCATGTATTCATTTTTTCTGATGGGCCAATGAAATTCTTTGTTGTGTAAATAACAAACAAATAACATATTGTTCTTCTTCATGCACTCGTTAATTGATAGTGTGTTTATTAAGAGTCTGTCAGAAAATTCTCCTTTTCAATTTCTATATTCAGTCGTTTTTATCCAAGTGTTTATATTTCAGAATGGACTTGGACAGACCGAGAAAGGGAGTTGGCAGCCTGGGCCTTCAGAAAGTGGAAATATCACCAATTCACATCTCTCAGGGTACATAGGAGTGGAATGGTTTCAAATCTGAATGGGGTTTTTTTGTGATGTCACAGATAAGATTTAATATACACAAAATACAAAAACTTACCAGAAAGCAAATAGATTCACTTTAAATTCAGAAGATATAAACCCTGCAATTTTTTTTTATTTAGAGTTAAAAGATTAAAGGAAATACATGAACATTTTACTGTGCATATAATGCCATGCATGTTCCTGAAAAAAATCATAAAAGTTTGACCCTATGAAATTAAAACACTGTACATAAGGTCAAGTGGTCAGTATTCTTATTCTGTGTGTTTTAAATGGATAAAAGAAAAGATGAAAAGGAATGTAAGAATGATAAATTAAAGAAACATGTAATTCAATCTAGCAAGTTTATTCAAAATATCCATTTGTTTACTTTATAATCAATCTGTAAAATACGAAGGGTGTAAATTTATGAACTTCGATACCCATTAATATTTACAACTATGCAGTACCAAATTAAATGTAAACTTTATTTCCCTAACAGGATGACTTGTGGGGCAATGCTATCTTCCTTAAGGAGGCCAATGCAATAAGTGTGGAGCTCAACAAGAAGGTAAGATCTGGGGCCCACAATCGCTCTAAAGAAAGCAATCACGCTATTCAATGTTAGAATAAATCTTTTCCTGGCGGGGCGACTGGTAAAACCTCTCTACGGTTTATTTTTCATCAAGGATTCCATGACTTCTGTCACGTATCTACCACTAATACAGTCTTTGCCCGATAATGCAGACTTGAAAAAGAAGAGTAATAATAGCAATGAAAAGAATTTGAGGTTCTTATATACCGCTTTAATTCACAACCTAGTCTGTAGGTCGTCTCAGAGCAGTTTATTATCCATGGTTATAGGGCCTTTGCAACCAGCCAATATCTGTCTCAACTCCCTTTGGAGCATCCAGCTGGTGCTGCAATTTTGGCGCTCACAGCTAGCATTCTACAATTCTAGCACTGCCCAACCTCATACTCATTTACAGCTGAGTAGACTGGAACAAGCAGAGTGAAGTATCTTGCTCAAAGATACAACACAGTGCCGTGCCGTGACTCGAACTGGCCACCCTTAGGTCACGAGCCCGGCGTCCTACCGCTATACTACCTTGCCTCCATATATAATGATGTGTAATGATTGTTGTTGTCATATGCTTCCTACAACAATACGTCTATATATGATATATCGAGGATATTTTAATGCTATATGAAACAGCAAAGAGAGTAGTGTGCTTCCACAGAGGATCAAACCGGCAATCCCAGATTTTTAGTACTTTTGGGTGTGATACACGGTGAACTACATCTTTAACTCAGAACTCGAAGTAAAATAAGCACATTTTTTTTTAGAGTTTGATAAAAATTGATTGATAATTTCAGTACTGTTAGTGTATCGCGATACAGGCAAGCAAAACAATTTAATACAATAAACAAGAAAGTATCTCGATACGATATATGATATATGGTCTCTACTATAAATCCTTTCCCCTACTTCACAGGTCCAGTTCCAGTTTGTGTTGTTGACCGACACCTTGTACTCACCTTTGCCCCCTGACATCCTGTCCTCAGATGACCGTGACCTTGAACGCCCGTTTCCAAGGACGATCGTTGCCGTGGAAGTCCAGGACACCAAGAACGGAGCAACACACTACTGGAGCCTTGACAAACTTAGGTACTCATTTTCTTGTCATACCTGTCTATGTTAAAACCGACTCACTGTTTACCCACTGTTAAGGGTCTCCTCTCGTTTACCCTTTCACCCCTGAAGACCATTATGGACTTCTCCAGATCAATGTGCAGTAGAGTCTACTAAAGTTACACAGGGGTGAAAGGGTACATACAAATATTTAAAAAAATAAAATTATCATGGCTTTTTTACCTGCAGAATTTGAACCCTTACTGGCTGAAATATACTTTTTTTCAAAGTGAGAATATTGAAAACTTGAAATAAAAAGACAGATAAATATCTGTGAATTTGATTTCACATGGATTTGCTTGCCTGTAATTATTATAACCATGTTGAGTATAGTCATTGTTTTGTTAATTCCCTATCCATCATTCAGGATAAGTCACAATCTGCATACTTAACCTATACAAACAAATTTCTGGGTTATTTATTGTATTTAACAATCTGGAAGGTTGCCTTGCTAATCCAGAAAAGCTTCATCTAAAATTCATGGTCACTTTCCTTTCAAAAATCAATATTCTGTCTTCACAAGTTTTCACTCAGTGACCATGTGACAGCCCTTAGGGATTCAGTAAACACACTTGTCCAGTACATGTATCGGTGAACTCTGGTGTCCTGTTAAGGGTCGTTTATAAAGTGTACCTTATCTTAAATAATTAAAGAAATAATTTAAATATGACAAAAAAAAAAAAAAAAAAAAAAAAAAAAAAATCACAGTAAATTTGGCACCTTAATTTGTCAGGTTGCTGCAAAAAATAAACAAATGTGTATTAATTTTTACATGAGAAAAACATAACACTATTTTCATCATAAAACCTTGTACTACACCAGAGAAAATGTAATAATAAAAAAAGTATTAGATATTGTAATATTTAGTTAGATTAAAGTATTTTTTATTCTGTTTTGGATATTGAGTACAGTACAGCTCTTGTGATTTGTGCTGTAGCTGATTTTATGTGGTTTTCACCATGTAAGTTCTCGCTAATCGGCAAAGTTGGAATCTTGTGACAAAATCCGACATTTTTCTGTGCACCCAGTGTAATTTTATTTTCATTTGTTGAAGGAGTAAGATTGAAAAAGGAGTTGATTTGATTTGATTTTGCAATCTTGTCTTGTCATCCAAACTTGTTTTTTTAAGGGTATAAAAGACCCACTTTTAGTTTTTGTTTTAATTTTTTGAAAAAAAAATGTTTGTTACTTAAGGATCCCTGTCCCACTGCACTGTAGTTTTTTCTTAGATACAGTAACCTCCCTTTAACTTCCATTTGGATATAACTGTAGCACAGTTGGGCCCAGACACTTCCGTTGACTAGTTAGTTAGCTCAGTCTGTTAGCGGTTAGGACGATAGTATAACAGTTTGGAATCCACGGTCGAAATCCTGGTCTAGCCATGCAGAATTTTTACATTCAGAACACAATTGCTGGTTAGATTTTGTTTATTTCATCTTCATTTTTTTTCTTTCATAAAAGCCCCGCAAGGTATACTTTTCTTCTCAAATAACGATTTATCAAAGCTATAGTCATGCCGGAAAAAAAACCAGTCTCCAAAGTTTTGTTCCGGTTTTTTGGCAGAGGTACGAGGTTCCTTAAGATCACTGTTCTTGACCATCCAACTACATCTCATGAACCCTTTTGTATAAATTTTCCTTTTCCATATTCTGTGAGCAATCCTTTTTATTTTTACCATAAGATATTCATTTGTAGTGCTAGACTGTAGCTTGCATGATTTTCTCCCTAGTTTTACATCCAAGTATATCAAACCATTGTCTACTGTTCACTCAAGCTAACGAAAATTTAAAGAGGTGCTTCCCCGATATCTCTTACGGTAGAATAATAGACATTTAAAAAAAAAATCTTACATATTCAAAACTGAAAATAAAATCACTGAAGAGAAATTTGCTTCATTTACATAACAAAAATAATATTTTGTCATTTATATTGGTAATACATGATAGGAAAATATTTTCCAAGAGATTTTTCAATAACAAACTGATTTATTGAAACACTTTCTGTTTTAATTCCTTCACATACTAGAACTTTTAGTTGATTTTGATAAATTTTGATATTATATGAAGCTGAAATATTTACAAAGAAGAGTCCATGCATTTTGGTACTGAATTTAAGCCTAATATATATCCTATTCTTTTTTCTTTGCAAGTATGTTGATCAGTGCAAATAATGTGAAGCAGACAACAATACAATGTACGTCCTATTGGACAGACGTTTATCATTTTGAACAGAACTTATAATAAAATAATAAACTTGATGGACAGAATCAATGGCATTGGTGTCAGAATACTTTCTGTTGAATTTATACTGAAACATGTCAAAACTTTTGTACACACAAAAAAATCAATCCAACTTTCATGTGTCGACCCGGATGTGTTCTGTAGTGGCCTTCTCCAGCTTGTGAGATGAGTTATGTCCCTTTCTGCACCCACTGACCCTAGCTAGCATGAGTTCCAACTTTGTCGATTACATGCTACATGTCCTTGGCAGCATGCCAGAAAAACTAACATTTTGTGGTCTCATTATTATGTTTATCAGTATTTTAAAATATTCAATAATATAAAAACATCGTTTTCAATTAATAAAATCTTTTTTAGTAGGATATTCAAATCAAGAAACTGGTACCTAGAATATTCGTTTTGGATGTTTTCTAATATTTGCAATAAATTATATTTATCTTATTGCTGTTGGTATTGAGAATATTTCTATATTTTTCAATTTTTTTCTCTTTCTTTTTCTGCGAACTCTATAAAAATTTGTCTTAAACATATCTTAAAACCCTTCAGTGTATTTAATGATTGCTGTACTTGGTTGCATACTTAGTCAGATATTTGGTAAAAGTATTTGAAGGAAAATTATGCAAATAAGAAAAAAAGAAAAAAAAAAGAAAAATTTGTTTCATAAACTATTGTTAATGGCAAATTAAGTAGAATTGAAACGAAATGAAAAGCCTCTTTTTTGCAATATATTTGTCAAGTTTGGGTGTCAACTTTGGGAGATGAAAACGTATGTGGTTTTGATGGAATTTTGAATGGCTGTTACAATGCTTGGACACGTTAACATTGTAGACATCGCTTGGAGCTCATGCGTGACATTTATAACGACGACTTATCACCCGACACCCCTGAGGCCAAACAGGATTTCCTCCAATGTCTGGTCGGCTGTGGTCCGCACCAAAACTACTTTAACTTCATTAACTTAATCCCATCCAGGTGTGTCTGTGTGACCTTCGCCTCTCACCTTTAACCTCTATCTGTTTGACCTTTGTTTGACCTTGTTTGGTGTCATGCTTTTTGTGTTGTTATGATTATTTTAATTCTTTTGTTTTTTAATTGTTTTTATTTTTAGCATTATCTTCAATTTTTGCATTTTGTTCAGTCGATCTGACAATTCTTTTGTTTTCAGATATTTTTTTTTATTTAAAGCTGGATCTGTGTTTTTTTTTCTTTCAGCTTGATTTTAATCATTTTGGTGTTGATATAGTTAATATGTATTTTGTATTTAAGGTTGAGCTCTTCTAACTATATTTTGTGATTTGTTATTTGGATCTACAATTATTTTAATAGCTGGGAGAAATATGTGAAATACATATAATATTATTTTTGGTGTTGCTGTGATATATTGCAAAAGTGTAAACAAAATGAAATTGACTGATAAGTTATAAGACAAAAACTACCTGCTTTGGTAAAAGTCAAGTGGGATAAAGAAAATTACTTAAAACTAATCTATTCTGACCATGTCCCTTAAATATCCTTAACTTGAAGTTTGTTGTTTTTGTGCGACATTTGTAACAGAAACGTCCTGCCAAATCAGTCATGATCAGAGACTTATTTTACACTTTTTTTTTGTCTTTATCTTGTAAAGATCTTGATATTTCAATACCACTGCACTGTATGAGCTATTCTATGGCATGTCGTTATTGGGTATGATCATTTCATTTTTCCCCTTGATTTTTTTTTTTTTCCATATAAATTTGTGTATTTACTTTAAACATACTTACTCTCAAAAAAGGTTGATATTGGAAACTGTTTTTTCTGTGAAAATCTAACTGTTTTAGTATATAGGTTAATTTTTTGTATTTTTTTTATCAATAACAAAAAATATTACTTTAACTCATTTACCCCTGAAGACACATTTGAACACTTCCGATTCAGAGGTTGGAATAGTTCATTATGAAATTTCAGGGGTGAATGAGTTAAACCTAAACAGACACCCTCCTCCTTGTCTTAACATATCACAGCTAGATCAGCAAAGATACCATATCAACATATCATATAGGTAGTGTTTTTTTAGATTTAATTCTGTACAAATTTTTAGATGTTAAACTGACAAAAGACCACGATATTAATCAGATTGAATGTCTGATTATATGATATAAAACAAATTAAATTACATATTATGTCAATAAAAAAAAATGTTTTATGAAAACTTGATAATAACCAAAACATGATATTAACCAAAACATGATATTAAACAACTTGACATTAAATGGAATTTAGTGAATTGATGAATATGAAGCTATGAAGTTATTTCAGACAGCATATTCATGAGGGTTTAAAAGTCATAAAAGGAACAAAAACAGGCTTCAAAGTTGTCAGAATAAGAATTGGCAAGAATTGTCAATTTGTAGCTTATCAATGGCAATTGGACATGCAGTATTTACTCATTGCAGTTGTGACAAAAGATTCGAAACAATGGTATTTTAAAAAACCAATACATTCAAAACATTACAGAAATTGCAATGTTAATAGGAAATAATGTTATAAAATTACTAAATGATAACATTATGATGTAACATTGGCGAAATCTGCCAAGAAATGCAATGATTACTCTTGAAATTAAAAACACATATTGATCAAAGGGCATGTTAGTCTGCATGAATTTGTGTTAATGTTGACCATTGCACAGTATATAGAGAACAAAGGCTCTGTTAATTTTTACTTAACTCATTCACCCCTGAAATTTCATCATGAACCATTCCAACCTTTGAATTGGAAGAGTTCAAATGTGTCTTCAGGGGTGAATGAGTTAAGGGTGCATGCTACCTTACTGTGACATGTCAATAGCGTTCCATATGTATCTCCCAATAAATTCCACACTTATAAACTGGTAAACATTTTTCGAACGGTAATTTGAGCTTGTTTAATTCATTGATGACAAATTTGATGGTACAATGTATGTGGAAAAAAAGCTCAAAAACATCCATGTAATATTTAATTACTGGATTATGCAAATTAAAATATTCTAGGGGAGACAACTCTATATATGTAAGGTAGCATATTTCCTTATTTACTAACACCAAATAAATTGTTTTAAGTAATTGTGTTACTAAAATTACTAATACTAAAACCATTAACATCATTGACTCATTAGAGAAGAATTATTTCACATTTGTTTTATTAAAATAATAGATATAATTTGAAATATATTGTTTTGTAAGATTTCATTTGACGTTAATGTTTTTGATTTTTCTGTCCAATCACAGACAGAGGCTTGAGTTGATGCGGGAAATGTACCATAATGAGGCTGAGTTGTCGCCCACATCACCTGAGCCTAACCTGGACAGTATGACAGGTGGTGATCCATTCTATGACAGATTCCCATGGTTTAGACTTGTCGGCAGGTAAGTTCTACACTTATTTACACAGTTAATTTACTTGAAAATAACAAATAAATATGTATGTTCAAGTTTTAAAAAATACCTTCACAGCTATTTAACTAACATTCAAATTAGGGATAATGTTTCTTTCAGTATGTGTTCCTGAAAAATGTAAACCGCCAAGTTATCTACCCTGCATACAAATAAATATATCAAGGTTTATTCTTCAGAGCATTTAAGTACTTGTACGATTCATACTGCCCTGTTATACCCCCCATGCATAAAAATTTACTTTTCAATTAATTTCAGGGCATTTGTGTATTTGTATAATTATACTATCTAGTTATCTCCCCTGTATAAAAATTGACCTTTTAATACGTTTGTGTTTATTTGTGAACTTGTATGATTTATACTGCCCAGTTATCTCCCCTGTATACAAATTGACCTTTTAATACATTTCAGTGCACTAGTGAACTTGTATGATTTATACTGCCCAGTTATCTCCCCTGTATACAAATTGACCTTTTATTACATTTCAGGGCATTTGTGTATTTGAGTAACCTATATTACCCAGTCCCCCTTGTCCACAAAGTGACCATCGTCAGTGAAAAGGGAGAGGTCAAGGGGTCACTCCGAGTGGCAGTCCAGGCTATCACAGGTAGGACCCCTTTTTTGTTCTGCCCCCTATATATAAAGCTGGTATAATTGTGTTTTGTTATTAAGATGTTCGTTTCTTCAAAAGTTCCATAAAAATTGTAGGTTCATAAATAGACGTTTTGATATAATCAGAGTAAATTAAAATTAAGATGGCTGACAGCTATGAACATTGTATATCTCACTTATTTCTTTCCTAGATCTAAACAAGTTCTGTGTTTTTGTTTACAGACAAAGAGGAAACTCCGGACTACACTCCAGGAATTAAGCAGTCTGGAAACGCCAAAATAACATTCAATGACAAGGACTACTACCAAATAGTAAGCACAGATTCAGATTTGAGAAAAATTTCTTGATAATTTAAAGTCAGATTTTTATCCTTACCTTAATTCAGGCTTTACCACCTGGAAAAAGTTATATTAAGGGAGAAAGCTTTAATTCATATATTTCCTAAAACTTCAACTTCAACAATGATATCTGCTACATTTGAATTATTACATACCGTAGCTATAAGCCACAAAAAAAATTAAAAAAATAAGAACAGGCATATTGGAAATTGAAAAAAATAATTTTTAAGTGCCAAGTTTTTTAACAGAATTTGGGTTTGAAATTGTCATTTTTTTGGTGAACCAAATGAAATTTTGTCTATAATGAACACTTGAGCTGTAATTGTGATATTGAAGAACACTCAATTACAATACAAGAAAAACATATTATAGCAGAGGACTGAAATGGCTGTAAACATGTTTTATATGCCTATTTCAGTAGGTCATATTGTGGTATGGCCATTTTCCATTTGTCCAGTATATTTGGTTTCTTCATCGATTTAAAAACACAATATTGAGGTTTATGCTTGACTTGTCTTCACTTTCTTTTTCACAGAAACAAAAACACTTGCCAGACAAGACAAGCCAGCTTCGAGCAAGAATGTCCCCCCAGGGGGCGCCCTCAATGGAGGAGCTGAGATACGTAGAGGGTGAGGGAACCACTCCTGACAACTGTTATGCCATGGATGGTAAAACGATAGAAAATCCTCCCCTTGTTATCAGGCTATGAAGGGCATGGATTCAGGGGCAGATAAATCCTGTCGTCATTAAACCCTTCTTCATGTTAATCAACTTTTTGACACTTGCGTTAGGTAACGCAAGTGTCTAGGGGATCGCGCATACTACAAAATTTGCTTAAAGTGGAACTGCATTATCGAGAGATGCGCCATCTATGACTAGATATAGCCATTCTGTCCTTATATGGCAGCTGATATCTCCTTATATTTATTTGAAGGGAGGGGGTGTGCAGGGTATTATACTGTATCGAAAGTTGGGGTTTCATTGCTTAAGTTAGGCCTTGTATCAGTATTCACCTACATGTGCTATAATAGATACTAACTTTTATCAAGACATTATACATCCTCAATACTCCAGGGATTACGCTCACTTTGGCTCTCTGCATGCACCCCCAGAATATGTCATAGCAAAATTGAAGTCACCAATTGCAAGATAGCTGTTTGATTGGTCTCAGGTAAAAAAAACCTGACCAATCGCTAGGCTGATACCTGTCCTTTGAAGATTAGAAATGAGCAACCCCCTGACTTCCAAGCCTGTCAATTTTTACCGTTATATGACCGCGAGATTCTTTTGATGTACATCAAAGGATCAAACTAGTCTTCTCGTCTCATCCATAGGGTGGTGCACACTGAGCCTTCAAATTTGCTTTGACATATTCCTGGGGTTCAGAGAGAGAAAGCGAGCGTGCACACTGAGCCTTCAATTTTGCTATGACATATTCCAGGGGTTCAGAGCAAAAGTGAGCATAACCCCTGGAGTATCCAGGATGGATGTTATATAATGCTTTTAGCCTAACCTCCAAGCGATAGACCCAAAAAACCTACCTGATCATTTATGACATCCAAATCAAAGGCGATCTTATGAATCAGTTGATTTATATCATTTTAGGGAGCAGGTTTCACTTAAGATACAGAATATTGTAGGAAAATTAATGTTTTAGGCAAAGGTTTTTCTGAGCGATAGTCTCAGACATGTTTTGATGATCATTTGATATAAAATACAACTTTATTTGACTGAATGGACAATAAGGAGATTGTTTTATTTATAGTTTTATGGGAGTTTGTTAAACTTTTCTTTCAGAAGCGTATCGTTGTTATGAAGACACTACAAATCAGGTAGACCGATTCCCGGAGATTGAAGAACGGGAACTTCCCAAACATCTCAAGATCGGGAGTCAGTTCATGTTCCGGGTCACCATTCTGGAAGCCTCCGGGATCTGTCCTGAATACGCTGATATCTTCTGCCAGTTCAAGTATGTATCAAAAAAACAACATTTATTTAGTCAGCATGATTGAGTTTTTGCTGATTAAGCCGATATTTCACTTTTAAAAATTCCTGATTTTCTGATATTTTGGAGTAACCATGCTGTGATAAAAGGCTATAAGATCATACAAATTGATTACCTAATGAAAAAAAGTTAAAGGGGTCTGAATTAATGTTAAAACATTTTAATGACTTCTTACAAAGAACTATGAAGCCTAGAGTTTTGATATCATATGGGATTAACTCATTTACCCCTGAAGACACATTTGAACTCTTCCAATTCAAAGATTGGAATAGTACATTATGAAATTTCAAGGTACAATGAGCTAAGCCTGCTTTAAGAAAGAAATATCAAATTTGTTCAAATGAATTTTCTATATGCTATCAACTTTGAAGGTCATGTAAGGACAATTGTGTCATAAGTAATATGGCAGAAGAGGTGTTATAAGTAATATGGCAGAAGAGGTTGTTTGGTATTGAACCTGTAATTCAACTACTTAGTGACAAAAACTGTATTTATCAGTTCATTAGTTTATTTTACCCATTATAGGCATTGGTCAGATTTTGGTTGAATAATGACAATATACAAATTCATACTCATGTTGAATAATGACAATACACAAATTCATACTCAGGTTGAATAATGACAATATGCAAATTAACACATGTCACCCTGGTAAAATATTATAGCCACTTCCTACAGATTCTGCTAGGGAGAATTTCGCTTTAGCTCACTTGGTAGAGCGTAAGACTAGTAAACCAGAGGTCCCGGGTTCGACTCCTAGCAGAGGCATTGAAAAAAATTACCTCTGTTACATTCACATTAAACCTTTATGTCAAATATGAATCAAAAGCAGTAATTGTAAAAAAAAAGATTTATGAGTTGTGTGTTTTTTGTTCTAGTTTCTTACACCGCCATGATGAAGCTTTCTCCACGGAGCCACTGAAAAATTCTGGCAAGAGTCATCCCCTGGGGTTCTACCATGTACAGAATGTAGGTTTTATTTTCGGTGTTGAATTTTAATTGTGACATAGGTATAATATAAAAAAAATATAAATTTTGGTATTTTGGTATTCAGGCATTCTGATGAGTTTTTATGGATCATTGTCTTCTTGTAAATTCAAACTTCAAGTAAACTAGCATAACTGTCTTATTTTTCCATCAAGTATTATGAAAATGCTTTCTTTAAAATATATTCAGCATTATGAAGTTTTATCACAGTAATCTTCAGTTTTTTTTTTTTTTATCAAATTAGATTTACTTCCTTTTTACTTTGATGTGAATTTAACCTGGTTTTTGGTTTTATAAAGTAATTCACTTTGATTATGAGCTACTGTCTGTTTCCCTGTACAAATTATATATAAGTTCACTGTAAAAATGACCTACTTTCTGTTTCCCTATACTGAGTTCACTGTGAATATAAATTCACTGTGAATATGACTTACTTTCTGTTTCCCTATACTTAGTTTACCGTGAATGTGACAAAGTCCTTCATTGACCACATCAAGTCCCAGCCACTAGTGTTTGAAGTGTTTGGACATTACCAACAACATCCACTACATGACCAGGCAAGGGACACAGTTTCTTAGTAAGTACATTGACCAAAACTGTCCATGATTTCAACAAAAAGTGGCTTTTTAAACATGAAAATATGTTGTTATTTAAGAGATCAGATGTATTATCAGATTGATAAATAATCATGCGGATTTTCAATATAAAACTCCAAATGATGGATCTGTTGTGGTTTGTAATGATTTTTTTTCTGCTTTCTGTTTCAATGGAGAATATCAAATAATTACAAACCGTTATCCAGTGTATACAACCATGTCGTACTGTACACCAGGAAGTTTTTGCAGCGTTTTAATTTTCGTCTTTAATTTGCCCTCCATAGTGAGCGCGATTTTTTTTATCATTACAGCAATCATTAATAAACAAGATAATACACATGGTAATTAAATGTGAAGGTCGAAATTTATACTGGGTATTTTACCGGTGAAGGGCGAAAGTTTCCCGGTTTACAGTTTATTTTGCATATGAACTCGGTGTAGTATATGACCAATTGTGACACAATAGAGATAATTCAGACACTATATGGCACCAAGAGGGCAGAATTTTAGACTTAAGAGAATGACAGCTGAGAAAAGTGTGTGTGTTTCGCCATCAATGTAAAATTTCTTGTTAATACATTATTTTATAATAAAAAGTTATCTTAAATTTCATTCAATTTCATATCAGACTGATGAGAATTGTCGTAATTCTTCATATTTACAGCAGTTCCAGGCCACCACCTCGACGTAGTTTCCCGCCATTGATTCCCGTTTCCAAACCGGTTCCCTCCCCCAAGTTTGGTATAATCACCCCTCCAAGGTATGTGGGTTGTATGAGCCTGTGTTTCCGTGTCCTTTATCAGTTTGCTTGTACTGTGTTTCCAGATTAAGTTGTTGTGTTAGGGTTTTTGTCGTACAGTATCCATGGGTATTTATTGTATTTTTTTCCGTGTCATACTCAGATCTAACACAGTGTAATGATAAAATAACAAATAATGGAAACTGTTTTCTATATACTGCAGGTTTCACTGCCTACACTCGGTTTTTTTCCTGGTCAAAAATTTAAACAGGCATCTTAAACCCATTTTCCCCTAGAGTCACATTTGAACCATACCAAATCAAAGACTGGGCAAGTTCATTTGAAAAAAAGGAGGGACGAATGGGTTCAAGTTTGAAACACTATATCCATATAACCTTATTTTATTATAAAATATGCAAAATAAACAAGGGTTTCCTTCAAACCTATGCCTGAATTATTTCAGAACTGAAAGTAGGAACATATTTTTTTTTATTAATTTGGCATTATTAGTTTTAGTTCTATTTGCGCCTCTGAAAATTAAAATTGCCAGTGATCTGAAAATGACACAAGTAGATAACTATTGTATGCTTTGGACCTTTTTATTTCAGTACAGTTCCTTATTTACTGTTTAGTCTTAATTTTCTTTTCTTTTTTTTTAAATAAAGGAAATAGTTTCAGTTTGTATAGGTCCTTCAATCTGTCACACAGTGTTTCTAGGCAACAAACTTCTCTAAATAAATAAATATTGAATTCATCCTAACTTGGAATATGCTTGCATGGCAGCAATACTTGGACTCAATCTGACGATTATAGGAATTCATGCATATTTATCAATCTTCCCTGATTTGCTGATGCACTCTGGGCGATAACTTTCCTAAATATTGATGTATGTCAGTCAAATTTGGTATATGGATACATCATGGGAAAACTCATAAAATTTAAGCATATTCCATTTGTATTCCATTCAGTTTCCAGGTACTTTCTCTATTTTGATTGGCCATTGCATTCTGGATAATAATTTCTCAAACTATAAATGTGTAACAGGGGAAGGGAAAATACACAGCCAGACCGGGGTTCGAACCCTGGACCCTCTGAACTCTAGACGGATGCTCTGCCAGTTGAGCTATCTGGTTGCTGATGATTGACCTAGTCCGGTTCTGCCACAATTGTATTTTAGTCGAACGTGATATTTATTTGCGTATTAATGAAATGCTCAGGTCAAGTTCAAAAATGAGCAGAATCCACATTCACATTAGTTGAAATATCTGCACCTACAGCTTTTCAAAAATGATAAACAAATGCAGTGTACTGGGCTTAATGCTCCCAAATGTAAGGCTTATTTCCAAATGGTTCTTTGATTATCCGCAAGTTTGTCTGTAAGAAGGTGCGCTAAACACACTGCATAAACGTATAACTAGTGATTATAGATTACGACCTGAATTATTGATTTTGCCTTTTTCTTGTACTTTTGTTTTTATTACATTTGATTTTGTGTACCATTTTGCTGTTGTAAATACCTGAGATTCAAAACTCTTTCATCAAAGAATACATATCAACCTAGAACAAAATTGATGTTTCAAATGACTATATTCAAAATTGACAAATGTTTCCTTACCTGGATTGGAAAAAAATGCAATTGATTCTTTTAATTATTAATTAATAATTTGTGGTTCTTATATACTGCTTTATCACAACCTAGTGTGTAGGTTGTCTCAAAGTGGTTCACAAATTATTATCCATGGTTATAGGGCCTTTCCAACCAGCCAATATCTTTCTCAACTCCCTTTGGAGCATCCAGCTGGGGCTGCAATTTTGGCGCTCACAGCTAGCATTCTACAATTCTAGCACTGCCCAACCTCATACTCATTTACAGCTGAGTAGACTGGAACAAGCGGAGTAAAGTATATTGCTCAAAGATACAACACAGTGCCGTGCCGTGACTCGAACCCACAACCCTTCGGTCATGAGCCCGGCGTCCTATCACTAGACTACCGTGCCCTTTTGCCTCCATTACAAAACCTTGTACGTAAAGTCCATATTCTTTTCTGGCATGGTCTTTCCAGGCACCTCTAATAAGCTAGGTCAATATAATGTAACCGGGTGCAGTGTCATTCTAGTCCCTGTCCAGGTTATGAAATTTCAGTGAAATGACACATTACAGGGTTAGACACTAACTTTTTTTGCCCTGTAGTCCACAGGTCTAGTTGAATAGATTACTTGCTAGCCCTACGTCAATGTGACTAGTCCAAGATTTCCTTAAGGAAACATCTCAAGAAGCAAGAAACATTAGAAGTAATTGACTGTTGGGGACAAAACATAATTACTGCCATACAGACAAGGTGAACTTAAATGTATTTTAACTCATTCACCCCTAAAGACACATTTGAACTCTCCCAATTCAAAGGTTGGAATAGTTCATTATGAAACTTCAGGGGTGAATGAGTTAAGCACAGTTTCTAAAAAGAGTATTCCTACAGTACGTGAACTACCAATGTTTTGTTTTCGTACTTATTCTTACTTTCAAACTGTTCATGTAGCGATTTTCAGCAGCCAATAAATCTATTATACAGTTAAATTCACATAAAAGTATCATTAAGTGAAAAGTGATTGTATTAAATTACTCCTTTGAACTGCATGATAGTTTCCTGGACGGTTTTCCCACGAGTGTCCCGCTTTGGGTACTGTCCCATTTTGGGTACTGTCCCGTTCTGGTACAGTAACACATGAGACAGAATATAAGGGTTTTGAATCTCAATGTTTACCTCCTTTCTTCATTGTTGTTTTATTTGGTTTAATATTTGTTTACATTTTTTGTTTTCATGTTTTCTTTTGTTGTCGCAGATCTGATAAGAAGTCTGGCACAAAGCAGGATTTATTGATAGATGTTACTAAGTTTACAAGTCCAGGGTAAGGACACGCACACATTGTTGTCATGGAAACAATCAACATGTGACGATTTCCTCATCAATGTTGGTTCACTAATTTGTCTTCATTTAATGCGTAGCTTTTTACTAATTAATACTAACACACAAATTAATTCTTAACTTTACTAATTTCATGACCTATTGAGCATGTGGTTGATAAGAATACCCGTATAAACAGTACAGCTTTACAAAGTCTGTAAAGTTACATATTAGCAAAAACACCCCTGTATTTCGACAATGGACTGTGATAATGGAGCAGTCCAAATGCATCAATAGGTGTCAGTGGGTTAAGTGCTGTTTCTCAAATCTATAGTCAGTAAATTGTAATGAAGTGACTCGATTCTCAAGACGAAGAAAAAGGGATGGGGCCCTTAATAGTACAGATACTGCATTTATGGTAAATAAAACCCTAAAACTACATATTGAAGTCTTGTGTGGTTTCGTTGTTGTCAACAGTAAAAGTATGTACCGTAGCATGTTATATATCTGTTGTTCACCCGAGAATAAATAAAGAGTTGATACATATATCAGGATTCAGGACTAAGAAATCCTCAGACTGCTGGGCTTTTTTGACAAATTGTCGTATTTTGGATAAAATTTCCTCACTGCCTTGTTTTTTTTCTATTGTGTTGTACATATAGCCTTCTATGATTATTTGTTGAAAATCAAATCTTCATTAATCTAAACATAATATTTATAATGAATTTGTTATATTCTGTTTATATATTCATTGTATTTGACTTTTTCTTATTTCTTAGTGTATTTTTAAGTTCTCTAGTGAAAATTCAGGATATTTGTTTTATTATATATTTTCTTAATCTTTGTAATTTATTATCAGTTATTTTATCAATTCACTTACGATGGTAAAACAATCCAAGTTTCATATTGAATATTTATTTTATTTTGATATGTTTAAATATTTGTAATTACTAACTTACATGCATATGACAAAACAGGATACAAATATTCAGTAATGTATTATTTATGATTAAATAATGGCTTGTTTTTATGTGATGTATACACTTTCTATGGGGAGTTAATAGCTTGAATTCTGTATTTATCATCAGTTAAAGTCACATCAGGTGTTTAAGAGTCATGGGAATGTTAACAAAGTACTAAAGCTACTAATACAGAATGTCATTTTTTTGTTGCGTTACGAAAACAAGCTGTAGATTGGGGTAAGATTAAAAAGAAAAAAAAATGTATAAATGAGTATCAAATTTCAAAAATGAAATTCATAAATTTAAATTTTTAAATTTGATTCATAAAAAAGAAATTTTCTATCAATATACATATGCGGTAATTTAATAAAAGTTGGTATATAATAATACAGTGCCATCTCATTAATGTATCCTAAAATTTTAATGAAAATAACTCAATATCGGCCATGCCGCCTATCTTTCAAGGGTTATGTGTTTGAATGCAACATTGTATGTTTCAAATAATTAGTCAGCAAAAATTTTGTGTACCTGGTAATTGAAATATTGAGACCTCCAATGAGATTAACCGATAGTTTGCTATCTTTAAAAAACGTAACAAATACCAATATCTTAAACATTATAATGCTTTTGGATCAGGGCTACCATAGTTAGAAAATTGGTTCAATGCTGCACTGGTAGGCACCAAAATTTTGTAGTCATGACAATTGCTGCATTGATGAGGTTGCACTGGAGATAAGAGATACATCGGGAAAAAAGACTTAGTGATATTTTGATACAACCAGACCCCAATCTACAGTGGCTGTCCACTGATTAGCTTGTTTGCGCTTTGCTTGGCGGTATGTTGGTGGCTGGGCTTGTAACGGCGTTCACAACTGGCCAGTGTTAAAGATTGACCGGTGTTGACCAATGCTTTGATTGTCCTTTTCTTTACCGTAGGTTCTATGACTCAGGTCGAAGTCCAGACATCGAAGTAGCTCCCATGACACCTTACATACTGTAGGTACCAATAACACACTGACACCTCCGTCTCCTCTTGTCCTAGCCTTCTTGTCTTTAAACAATAGCTGTTCTTTTGTCTTATACGTACTGTTACTCATTTTATTTAATCATAGTGATATTTCTGTCTGGTGACCGAAGTGATACTATTTTAGCAGAAGTCCTGTCTTGTCACCAAAGTGATACTTGTCTTGTCACCATACATGCCAGATCTCACGGCGTGAGGCAATATCTCACAGATTTTCACAGCTGATAAAGTCTCACGGTGTTGGACATGAATTTACGGAAAGTTGTCACCATAGCGATATTTCTATCTTGTAACCATAGTGATACTCCTTCAAGTCACTGATACATGTCTTAGTTTGTCACCATAGCAATATTTGATCTTGTAACCATAGCGATACTCCTGTCCTGTCACTTAAGCGATACATGTCTTAATTTGTCACCATAGCGATATTTTATCTTGTAACCCTAGCAATAACCCTGTCTTGTCGCCAAAGTAATAAGCTTGTCTTGTCACCATAGCGATATTTTTGTCTTGTAACCATAGAAATAATCCTGCCTTGTCGCCAAAGTAATATAGCTTGTCTTGTCACCATAGCGATATTTTTGTCTTGTAACCATAGCAATAATCCTGTCCTGTCGCTTAAGCGATACATGTCTTAATTTGTCACCATAGCGATATTTTATCTTGTAACCATAGCAATAATCCTGTCCTGTCACTTCAGCGATACATGTCTTAATTTGTCACCATAGCGATATTTTATCTTGTAACAATTGCAATAATCCTGTCTTGTCGCTAGAGTAATTAATAAGCTTGTCTTGTCACTATAGCGATATTTTTGTCTCGTAACCATAGCAATAATTCTGTCTTGTTGCTAAAGTAATAAGCTTGTCTTGTCACCATAGCGATACTCCTGTCTTGTCACCATAGCAATATTCCTGTCATATAACCATATGATATATACATGTCTTGGTACTATAGTAATGTTGTTGTTATGTTACCATAGCGATACATTACTCTTGTCATGTAACTAGAGCAATACTCGTATGGTCTGTAGAAGGTGGTCGGGTGGTGCAGTCGAGGGCGCACTTGTCATTCACCAAGGCTGCTGGGATTCGATTGCCCGATTGGACGTGAAAATGTATGAGGTCACCTGCTTGACTACGTGGGTTTTCTCCGGTTACTCCGCTTTCCTTACACATTAAAACCCACAGCGGGCTATCATCCAGGCCAACAAGAGTGATTAATATAAATTATAAAACCTTGATTCATAATTGTTGTAAAATAGATGAAGTTTATATTTATGGTCTGTATATTGCTATAAAAATACTCATTTTTGTAGCCATATTGATACATACTGTCTTGTAACCATGGTGATGAACTGAAAATGTAACGATTGTATAGGCAAAAAAATATCTTCTAATTTTCATGCCGATTTTAAAATTTCAGAAGAAATGCCCAGAGATCATTGTATTGGGTTGACTTGTTTTGCAATAACAAAAATTACTTAATAAAAATGGCTCCCTCCATCACCACAACTAATACCTAACACCGGTTTTCTTTTTGCACATTGCACTTAACATTACTTTGCTGAAGAATGTGTTGTATTGGCTTGTTCAGTTCTTTCCTTTACTTGCTCCCCTTCCAACGCCTCAATCAAGCTTGTAGATTTTGTGTGATAAGAATCTATAAACAGAAAAGGTAATTTTGTCTGAATTTAAATTCATCATTTCGTACCATCACATCCTTTGCTGAAGCGGTATTCATTATATCACCCAGAAACGCATATAAATCTTGTTTTCTTTTCTCCTGAATTTCATGATCATAGCTATACTGATGAAATCACCGAGAAACGTATATAAATCTGTTTTCTTTTCTTCGGAATTTCATGATCATAATTTTTATTTTAAAATAATGCATACCATATTTATCTAGCAATAAGCCCATGCCTGGTAATAAGTCCATCCCTCTAGTTATTGCTGTTTAGAAAAAAGGCCAACAAATGCTTGTACATTGTCATGAAATTTGCCCATCCCTTACTTTGAGTCGGCGACTATATGATGGCCCCCATGGCATCTTACAAGATAAATATGGTATATTTGGTAACAAATGTTTTTAGGTATTTTCAAAAAATCTATTTAATGCTTTTCACTTCCTTGAAAAAATTAAACCAGAAACCACAGAAAATCATCTACAGTTGAAATTTCAGTAAGGGGAAATATAATAACAACAAATCATATATATTTTGGAAGATGTTTTTTGTGTAAATTCATTTGGACATTTAATCACAAATTAGAATTTTTCAGTTTACAGTTAATGATATGTAATTGTTCATACTGTGAATTCAGACCTTCGAAGATAAGTTGATTGAAACAAAACCATAAAAATGAATACCATTATATATATAAATCCTGCAATATGCCAAAGGGGTCAAACTCATAATCTCAAGACAGGAGACAGACTTATCACAGGTCAAGAAGTTTAATAGCATTTGTTTGCATTTCTACCGAGATACAATATATATGGGTGGGCTTATTACCAGGCATGGGCTTATTGCTGGATATATTTATAGATATTTATACCCAGAGACCCAGAGGAATGTAGTAAGCTAATTTTGTGTATAATTATGTGAACGAGTCAAACCTGCCATTTCTGTCTACAGTGGTAGCCATGTCCACTCCCTGTACGACCTCCTCGTCTGGTTTGAGATTTGTGAGCTGGCACCCAATGGAGAGTAAGTATTAGCTAGAAATACAGATGTTCAAACACGAAACTTTCTTACATAAACTAATTTGATGATACAAACTCATACAGCCTGCTGGTAAGTGTGAATCAGTTATTATATCAGTATATATACTTTGTACTATTGCTGTGTAAATATCATGCTCATGTTGGGAAAACACTAATTCATACATTGTAAGAAGAACTCTTCCAAGGGAGATAACAACAAGTAAAAAAAATGTCTAGAGACAAAATGGCTGTCATGGCTCACTCATCCTAAAATCAGCTGATTTCATGCATATTAATAAGTATTAAATTCACAAGCAACACCTTACAGTTACTATATATATGCCTAAATGATTTCTGAAAGGGAGATAATTTTGTTATCTCAATGTAACCAGCCATATTCTACATTAAAATGCACCATCTTCTTCTAAAAAAAAAAAAAATTTGAACATCTGCATCTTTCACATTATGTTTCTGTGTAAAGATCAGTGCAAATTTCACAAGTGTTTCATGGTACTTGCACCTCCGTCCACAGGTATGTGCCGGCTGTAGTGGATCACAGCGATGACCAGCCATGCATGGGGACGTACATGTTACACCAGGGTATTCAGCGTCGAATCGCCATCACTATCATGCAGGACCAGAGTCCAGAGACGGACCTGATCTGGAAAGACGTCAAGGAACTGGTTGTTGGTACGTCTATATAAATTACATATTTTCCCCTCATACAAGGTTAGTAATTTATTGTAATGGTTGGATATTTTGGAGTGTTGAAATTCGGCTCATTTAATCTTCACACCAAAGAAATCTAGATATAACCACATCCTAAACGTCCCACAATACAGTACAGCCATCTACTTACTGTATACAGGGAAACTTCACCATGGCAAATATTCACCCTTCACTATTAAAATATCTTTTCACCCATTGTTAATTTCGCCTTTCACGTGTAATTACTATATAGGGTAAGCTGTTATATTCGCTGTTATGATAAATTTGCCTTTATTGCCGAGTAAAAAAAAGGCAAAATAAAACTGCAGTGAAAATTTCCCAATTTACAGTGTTACATGCAGGAATGACGTTATATGTAGCCGTTATCATAGTGTATTGTATCGTATTGTGATATGATTTTATAACCTTTGTAATTATTCATGAGATGTTTCAATTCAAAATTGAATCTCTCTAACTCATTCACCCCTACATTTTTAAACTGGATTTGCCTAGTCTTTGATTTGGTAAGGTTCACATGTGATTCCAGGGGTAAATGGGTTAAACATTTATATCATTTCTTAATTCTGCAGGACGTATCCGCACTACACCTGAGTACAGAGACTCCGACATGGAGACCACAGTACTGTCTCTAAGTCTGTTCCCTGCCTCCTACATACAGTACCCTGGAGACGACGGGTAATCTCTCTCTCTCCATCCCTCACATATGCTGTCTCTATAAGTCTGTTCCCTGCCTCCTACATACAGTACCCTGGAGACGACAGGTAATCTCTCTCTCTCTATCCCTCACATATACTGTCTCTAAGTCTGTTCCCTGCCTCCTACATACAGGACTCTGGAGACGACAGGTTAACCCACTCCAACTCTTTAAATTTACATTTGTACTGTTCTTGAGTCAATGCCCCCTGCCTACATGCAGTGTCCTGAAGATGACGGATATCTCTCCAAACCTCTAATGTACAATTTTAATGAAAACTTACAGGTATGTTATAAGTATCATTCACAATCATTATGACAAAAGATTACAGCTAAGATAACAAAATTTAGCTTTTGCATTCAAAATTAAATCTTTTTCATTTTTTGGAATTAATGTAATAATCTATAATCACAAATGCTTAAATATTCACAACCCTGATTTTTTTTTATGCCACAAGAGACTCACCTGATCATTTTAATATCTTACTTTCCAGAATATATTTCCGCTTTGAGGCAGCCTGGGATAGCTCCCTCCACAACTCCAATCTTCTCAACCGCATGACGTCATCGGGAGAACGTGTGTACATGACGTTGTCGGCGTATATTGAGGTGGAGAACTGTGATCAGCCCGCCTGTATCACCAAGGATCTGTGTGTTATTGTTCACTCAAGGGACACCAAGATATCCACGTCAAGGTATGTACTCGGGTCAAGGTCATTTATACTTACAAGGTCATCTTAAAGTGTTGAGGTTATCTACCTGTTTAGTCATATACATTTCATGGTCATTTTCTTACTAGATCATTGTAAAACGTCGAGGTCATTTACTTGCAAGGTCATTGCAAAACGTCAAGGTCATTTTCTTGCAAGGTCATTGTAAAATGTTGAGGTCATTTACTTGCAAGGTCATTGTAAAATGTCAAGGTCATTTTTTTCAAGGTCATTGTAAAATGCCAAGATCATTTTTATTTATAAGGTCATTTTAAAATGTCGAGGTCAGTCATTACTTAAAGAGCATTGTAAATGTCAAGGTCATTTATCTATATGGTCACAAAAGTGTCAAAGTCATTCACTTACAAGGTCATTTACTTGCAAAATAGCTTTGAAATATTTAAAAAAAAAAAAGTTATAAATAGCATGTCGATGCAATTAAACTGATTAAGTCAATTGGGACCCTTTCTCTGATAAACTCATTGAACATTATATATTGATAATATTTATGTTGTACATGTATATTCGATATAAATATGTATGTATGTACTTGGTTAAGTCTGCTTTTGCTGTTGTGTAAGATACGATAAAGGTCATAACTCTATGCTAAAATGTATGTGGCAGCACGCCTCACCTGTAATGCAGAAGCTAAATTATCATGTATGCTGTTGCATGTTATAAAGAGGGAATGCTTCATTTTCCTGTTGTCTGTTGTGAATCTTGTGCTAATGCAGCGCCATCCTGTGGGCAACCAGAACGATTCATCCATTCCAGCATGCATCAGCATTTCCCCCTCGTTACGATTCACACATGTCAGCGTTCGTACAACAGATGATGATTCCAATGTCTTTGTTATCTCTTTACGACTGAATCTTAAATAATAGCATATTACATGTGTCTTAAATATCTCATAATGGAACATTCATTTGATTTCCATTGTTAAATATGAAGGTGAATACCACATAGTCTGGTGACACAGCCAAACTCACTCTCAGCTAATGTTGCTACAATATGAAATGGCTGGATTACAAGGCCGATATCAAATAGTGAAAAAAAAAATCGTTTTATTTGATGTCACAGTACTGGATGATTTAACTATGTTTGGCTGTGTTTTAACATCATTTTAAATCATGAGTGAAATACTAGTGATCTGTTTATAGACAATTTGTGGAACGTCACTGCTAAAATTCATTCTGTACGGTTTACATAAGGTATTTAATCAATAGTATTTCATTAATAGTATTCATCCAGCATTTGATATTGTGTGCCTTAAGTCTGCTACCCTTGTATGCTTATATATTCTGTGAACACAACTGTAAAATGCACTTCATAAAAGCCTGTGCTCCAAAGGAAACCTTTTGTCATTTAGAGTTGGTTGTTATTAGGAGATACTTTGTTCCAGTTCAACAAAAGTTTTACAGTAGAGTTACCAGTCTTCTTAGTAACATAAGATTTACAGTAGAGTTACCGGTCTTCTTAGTAACATAAGTTTTACAGTAGAGTTACCTGTCTTCTTAGTAACATAAGTTTTACAGTAGAGTTACCAGTCTTCTTAGTAACATAAGATTTACAGTAGAGTTACCGGTCTTCTTAGTAACAAAAGATTTACAGTAGAGTTACCTGTCTTCTTAGTAACATAAGTTTTACAGTAGAGTTACTAGTCTTCTTAGTAACTAAAGTTTTACAGTAAAGTTACCTGTCTGTAGTAACATAAGTTTTACAGTAGAGGTAACTAAAGTTTAACAGTAGAGTTACCTGTCTGTAGTAACTAAAGTTTTACAGTAGAGTAACCTGTCCAATAAGTAACTTAAGTTTTACAGTAAAGTAACCTGTCTACCTGTCTTTAGTAACTAAAGATTTACAGTAGAGTTACCTATCAAATAAGTTACTTAAGTTTTACAGTAGAGTTACCTGTCTAATTAGTAACTGAAGTTTTACAGTAGAGTTACCTATCAAATAAGTAACTTAAGTTTTACAGTAGAGTTACCTGTCTAATTAGTAACTGAAGTTTTACAGTAGAGTAACCTGTCCAATAGGTAACTTAAGTTTTACAGTAGAGTTACCTTTCTTATTAGTAACTTAAGTTTAACAGAAGGGCGTAGTGTGGAGAACTAGAGAATGTAGAAGGTTGACAGTCTTTCAAAGGAAAAATTGGGAGGGCATTTAATATGACAAATACAGAATAAACTAGAACAATTATCTTTTCAAGAAGGTGACAGAAGCACAAGAATTCTGGTTCTGAGATGTCCGTTGTTAGCATGCATATCAAATTTCATCTTGGCCATGCTTGCTTTCTGTCTGAACTTCCCATTGTGGTGCATGCTGGGACAGATGAATGATTCGCATACAGATGTAGGTCATGACACAGGATGGCAAACTGGTGCCTGGTACCAGTGCTGGCTAAAGTTTCAACTTTGTATCACGTTACCAGAGTTTGTCGTACTTAACACCATTTGCGTAACTTAGTGCTCGTTTCAGGACACTGAGGAACCTGTTTGGCGGGTCAAAGAACCAGGACAGTAACCGGGTGAGCGGTATCTACGAGTTGTACCTGCGACGGGCCTCCGATTCAGGTAGTCCAGGTATTGTGTTGTGTTTGTGTTGTTTCACCCAGCACCATATGAATGATCCACCAATCAAACTCCTCCCAAACTGCACGAATACACTGTCAACACAATGATTGACCAACACCTGTCCTATAAATAAACAATCTGTTAGGCCAACTGTGATTGGTCACATTTTCACCCTATGAATGATCTGTTAGTTTCACTTTGATTGGTCACTTTCTAATCCCATGAATGATCTATTAGACTGACTCTGATTGGTCACTTTCTCACCCTATCAGTTATTATGTTCATCTGTAATGCTAACTCTGATTGGTCATTGTACATGAATGAATTATCTGTAAACCTCACTGTGATTGGCTACTTACTCACTCTGCCAATGTTGTTGAATGCTCCTTCATATTACTGTAGCTATTTATTTTTATACACTTAAATTGGTTACTGACCTATCTTGTGATCGGTTCTCTTGATTGGTTAATACTTTCTAGAGTGAATATCATGACCTGTTTTTACCAAAACTGCATGGTTTGATCTTAATTCTTGATTTTTGCATCATGTCATGACTACTTGGACTGACCAAGTCTCTATAATGACTTGAAGTCTTTTCCAATTTTCCAATACTTTTGAAGTCTTTAGATTCATAATCTTAATGATAAAGGAAACTTTATTGATAACAATTGACCATTGACCCGACTAGTAAACACACCTCCACCCCTCTCCCTCCTCATGACATCAACACTCCTCCCTTAACCCCTCACCTCCTTCATGAATGCCCCTCCTGTAACCCCCCCACCGCCATCTTAACACCCCTCCAGGGATCCCCCAACCCCCAACCTCCAATATGACCTCTTCCCTACCCCCCAACACACATGTCATTGCTAGATCAGACCCTATAGTAGTAGATTGTAGCTATAGATATTTTACATTGTTTTATATTTATTAATAGAATAGAAATAAAGATTATGTAAATAAATTATAAATCAATATAAATTTAGCTTATTTTGCATAAAAATGTTAGCTAATGAAGATTGATACATTTATAAATTTTTAATTTCTCTCAGAAAATAAGAAAGCACTGTGACTGTGAGAAAACTTTAGTTGTAATTAATCTCATCCATGGTAAATAAATCTTGAACAGCCCCACCGATATCAGTTCCTAGTAACTCATACACCCCTACATATCTAAACTGGACTTGCCCAGTCTTTGATTTGGTAAGGTTCAAATGTGACTTTAGGGGTGATTGAGTTAACAGCCCAAACACATACCAGCCCTAATGAGTAACAACAATCTATCCCACTTAATTTCATTTCTCATCTTCGGAGGTTGTAAATGAGATATCCAGTCAATTTTTCTCAATACCTGCCTCATTTGGTTATAGTTGGCAAGTCATTCAAAAAACCACTTGAACATGGTAAAAATAAAATTTGAACCAGTATTTCATGTATTTAAAAAAAATAAGTATAATAAATATATTAACAACTAGTAGCGTTCACCCTTCAAAGGGTTCTTCAGGAGATACAGACTAAAATTTTAATAATAAGTTTAAGAGATAAAAGAAATTCATATCAAGCTGGACGTTTCCAGGTATTTTTTAGATGAATTTGTAATTTAAAATAATAAAATAAAATTTGTGAGAGTAATTGACTTGATTGGATATTTTTATCACAATCCTAAAATTATGAGGGATAGACTGTTGTCCAAACACATAACAAAACTTAATGTTTACCATGTAATTTTCCTTAGGTGTACAGCGACGTCAGCGCCGTGTCCTCGATACGTCCTCGACATACGTCAGGGGCGAGGAGAACCTGAACGGCTGGCGTCCCCGTGGGGACTCGCTCATCTTCGACCACCAGTGGGAGCTGGAGAAGCTCACCCGTCTTGAACTTGTGGAAAAGTCACGCCACGTGTTGTTACTGCGTGAAAAACTTGCGGAACAAAACAAAACTCACGAGCTGAGTAAACTGGACAAGGAGGCATCCAACAAGTCCGCTAAGGCGAGGCAGCAGGAGGAGACCAAGTCTGACGAAAAGATACAGCCACCGAGCCCAGACAAGGTCGACAACACGACAGACGAGAAACTCATCGAGAAATGGGAAAAGGTTGACGAAAGTGAAAAGGGCAAAAAGCTCAGCAAACGGGAGGCTATATTCAATTTTGAAACCAACGGGGATCCTGAAAAGGAGCTGATGGCCAAATGTCTTCGACTGTTGATCCACGGACGGGTTCCATTGTCTCCACCCCCAATTAAGGTACACACTAAGGAATATACCAAGCACGCACAATTTCATGTACAGTACCGAGTTTTATTATTTAGTAAAATTTACTATTTTACCATATTTATCAACCGAATTGTGATGTTGTTAATCTTGCATTTTGAATTCCACTTAATATCATTTTACCTAAAATCTTATTTTGGTTTATATCATGTTTTCTAAAAAGAGTACTTTTCTTTTAATCTTGCATTCTGCATGATTTTCCATTTGTCTATAACCATCAAGCCATTAATTGGGTTTTCATTGTACAGAATCCCTTTCATTCTTCACTGTTGGATGCTTGAATAACAGGGAGGTGTTTGTCATGTGAAATTCAGAGAATTACACTTTATTATATCTTTCTGAAATCTAATATGTATATATAGAATGACTTGCATTTCTCGACTCTGCTGTAAATGAAAGTACATTTTGAATGTTTGTAGACACCGACTGTGATGCTAGATTCTGTAGCCAGTACAAACACAAATACGTCGGAGGAGAGCGACGGTGTGACTGATTCCATGACCACCAGCATGTCTACATCGTCTGCCTCCGAAATGTTCAGGTGAGAGTAAGAGGTTATTACCTGCTCAAGAGACCACCCCTTTGGCCCATTCACCCTTAAGGCCACATTTGAACCTTACCAACTCAAAGACTGGGCAAGTCCAGTTTAAAAATATAGGGGTAAATGAGTTAATCAATTCCCTGCCTTAAGGAACCACAATTTTTATCAACCATAGAAATCAGTTTACTTTATATATAATAATTCTTTATTAAGAAACCATTTCTCAGTTTAGAGGTCAATTTTAAGCCTTCCCTTAAGTAGTTATATTTTACTACAGATTGGACTTGACTGTCTCATGGACTATCTGGGAAGTTTCCTGACAACTTCATAATAATAATTAATAATGATAATTTGAGGTTCTTATATATCACTTTATGAAAACCTAGTTCGTAGGTCGTCTCAAAGTGGTTCACAAATTATTATCCGTGGTTATAGGGCCTTTGCAACCAGCCAACATCTTTGTCAACTCCTTGGGGAGCATATAGCCGGTGCTGCCATTTCAGCGCTCACAGCTAGCATTGTACAATTCTAGCACTGCTCAACCACGTACTCATTTACAGCTGAGTAGTCTGGAACAAGCGGAGTGAAGTATCTTGCTCAAAGATACAATACAGTGCAGTGCTGTGACTCTAACCCACAACCCTTCAGTCACAAGCTCGTCGTCCTACCACTAGACTATAGTGCCTCCTTATCATCAGTGTCACTGTTCTTTATAGTACTGACTTCTCATTTTATCTTTCAGTAAACAATCCACAAACAACAACTCTATCCAATTGTCAAAATCCTGTGAAAGTCTGTCTACAAACTCGAACACCACAAACTCAAACACCTCCCAGGAGTCCTCAGCAGACAGGAAGTTATCACTGCCAATCAAATCAATGAATCTGAACCTAGACAGTGACATTTACATTCCACATATTGAGGAGGTGCGCGTCAGCCCTGTCGTTTCCAGGAAGGGCTACCTCAACTTCCTGGAGGAAAAGCACAGTGGCTGGGTCAAACGCTGGGTGGTAAGTAGGTCAGGGGTCAAATGCTGGGTGGTAAGTAGGTTAGAGGTCAAACACTTGGTGGCAAGTAGATCAGGGGTCAAATGCTGGGTGGTAAGTAGGTTAGAAGTCAAACACTTGGTGGTAAGTAGGTCAGGGGTCAAACTATTGGTGGTAAGTAGGTTAGAGGTCAAATTATTGGTGATTAAGAAGGGGTGAGAAAAAATGCTGGATGGATAGAAGATCAAGGGTCAAATGCTGGGTGGTAAGTAGGTAAGAGGTCAAACACTTGGTTGTAAGTAGGTCAGGGGTCAAATGCTGGGTGGTAAGTAAGTAAGAGGTCAAACACTTGGTGGTAAGTAGGTTAGAGGTCAAACTATTGGTGGCAAGTAGGTTAGAGGTCAAACTATTGGTGGTTAAGAAGGGGTGAGAAAAAATGCTGGATGGATAGAAGATCAAGGGTCAATTGCTGAGTGGTAAGTAGGTAAGAGGTCAAACACTTGGTTGTAAGTAGGTCAGGGGTCAAATGCTGGGTGGTAAGTAGGTTAGAGGTCAAACACTTGGTGGTTAGTAGGTTAGAGGTCAAGCTATTGGTGGTAACAAGGGCTGGGTCAAATACTGAATTGATAGAAGGTCAAGGGTCAAAGTCTTGGTGAAGAGCAAGTCAAGGTTTAAATGTTAGTTGATAAGAAGGTCAGGGGTCAAGTGCTTAGTGATTTTTAGGTCAGGGGTCAAATGCTTGGTGATAAGTAGGTCAGGGGTCAAATACCAGTTGGTAAGAAGGTTTGGGTCAAACACTAGACAGTAAGTAGATCATGGATTAAATGCTGGGTAGTTAGTACAGGTAGGTCAGGGGTCAAATACTGGATGGTGAATAGGTCAGGGGTCAAATGTTTGGGGATAAGTGATCGTGGGGTTAATTGCTTTATACATGGTTGATGATGAACTGGGGTCGATGCTGATTGGTAAATAGTTCAGGGGGTCAAGTGCTAGGTTAGTAGGTCAAGGGTTAAATGCCAGATAATAAGTGGAGGGATAACAGAATGTAATTGATGTCATGTGCTATGATCATCATAGTCGATGAAATTCCTCCATTAGTAGAAATATCTCTACATGTGACATTACACTTTTCTAGGTGGTGAGACGTCCATATGTGTACATTTACAATTCTGAGAAGGATCCAGTGGAGCGAGGAATCATCAATTTGGCCACATCTCAGATAGATTACAGTGAGGACCAACAAGCTCTGCTGAAGGTAGGGAAATACTCACCTATTAGATAGGATTTCACGGTTATTATTTGTCACTGTTTGGCAAAGAATTAAATCTTTTGAGAAAGGATATTACATTTATTTTTTTAATTTAGTGACTGTTACAAGTGATGTGTTGGTAAAGTTGCATTGAAACATGATAATAACCCTTTCACCACTGAAGACCATAATGGACTCATCCATATCAATGCATGGTAGAGTCTACTGAAGTTACATAGGGTTTAAAGGGGTAAAAGGAATATAATTATTTATTAAGTAGAATCATATGATATTCACACAATGTAATGTATAGAGAAAGTAGGATATTTCATGAATATAATGCTATTAGTTATCGAGTGTTTTTGGCTTCCATGGGACAGTTGAATCGGCTTTTGAGACCAACCCTCTTAAGCAATCCTATCTCTTAAATGATCATCATTTTCTCATTCGCACAAATCTGTTAACTATATATTAACCCTTTCACCACTGTAGACCATAATGGACTCATCCCAATAAATGCATGGTAGAGTCCACTAAAGTTACCTAGGGGTGAAAGGGTTAATTCTCTTTATTTAGAGACCATCTCTGCTAAAATGCCACTTTGGAGTCTTCCCTAGGGTTATCTCTTAACCCTTTCACCACTGTAGACCATAATGGACTCATCCCCATAAATGTATGGTAGAGTCTACTAAAGTTACCTAGCAGTGTAAGGGTTATTACAAGTAAGAATGTATTTGAATATGGAGTCACGGAATTATATTTTCTCCTGTAGGCCCGTAACACATTCTCTGTACTGACCAAGTACCGCGGGTTCCTGATGCAGACCCTTGACGAGAAGGACTTCCATGACTGGCTGTATGCTATAAACCCACTTCTGGCTGGCCAGATAAGGTGAGTACAGGTTTACCTGTAGTTCTATTGTTATCTAGAAATCTGCATAATTTACTGTGACTTGGAAATATCCAGGAGAGGGATCAAAGTTGAAGGATGAGTGCTGATCATACAAGATGATAGTTGGGACCCCCTGCAAAATTGGGAGGTTGGGGGTAGGGGGAGAGGATCTTTTGTACCTTCCTTTTGCGGACACAAAAGAAACCAATTTCTCTTTCATTCCTATGCATAAATGACAAAGCTATTTTGGGTAAAAAGGGGAGTAAGAGAAATTTCTTGAGTTTTATCCTGATTGAAAACCCCTTGGGTAAATTTCCCTATCCTGCACCCTTTGGCATGAAAGAGTCTTGTATTCCTTATTTTATTCCCCTTTCTTTTCATGGTCTCTCCCAAGACACCTCTGGTTAACCCATTGATAGAAAAATGTGACTCAAAAAGGGTTTAATGCTACCATGTCTGTGTTCTGATATTTTGGTGAGATATCGCTGGCACTTTAATGCATTCACCCCTGAAGACACATTTAAACTCTCCCAATTCAAAGGTTAGGATAGTTCATTATGGAATTTCAGGGGTGAATGAGTTAAAATGGCCATGCATTGAGTGACCCAATCACCTGAGGACACAAAATCCTAAACATGTCTAATGGTCTTCATGATCATCGAGTATAAGTAAAGTAAAATGATAGTAACGACCAATTTAAATTTTCATCTCTTTGATAAGAGTTTAATAAAAAAAAAAAAACTCAGTGATATAAAATATGAAGGAAACTGAGTCCGTTTATTATGTCGTTTCTAAATAAGGTCAAATGAAAAAAAGGAAATATCGCGATATATTTTTAGCTCACCTTATTTGATCTTGTATGGAAGCTCAATCTTTATAAGAAAATCATAATGAATCATGCTATTACGATTGGTATTGGCTGTTTGAAATATTAATAATCACTGGGTCAAACTTTCAACCTCCATCGGCGAAATCCATAAACTCATACAGTTAATTCTGCTTGCACATGATATTACTATATGTGGAATGTTGTGTTTTAACTCAATCACCCCTGAAATTTTTGAAATGGAAGGGTTCAAATGTGTCTCAAGGGGTCAATGAGTTAAAATTGGCTGACATGGCAGAAAAGGTTAAAGTTTAACTGCAGCAAATATTTCCTGGGCCCATATTCATGAAACCGTACTCATTCTCCAACTCAGATTCTGTGCTCAAACCTGAATTTCTTGCTCCTGTAATAAATTGATAAATAAAGTAAAGATTTTGTTGATGATATTGAAGAAATATAGTCTTATACCATTTTCAAAGTTAACAATTGTCTTTTGTATCGTGACACCTTATTTAAGAGAGTTACAAGGAAGTTGGCTTGAGTACAGAATGGTTTTATGAATACGGCATACTTGCCAACTATCCCTATTTAGGAGGGCGACTCACAATTTTGTACCCTGAAATTCAATACTTTCAACCAGTGAATTTGATGAACTATTCCTATGTTCTAAGCGCTAATGATTTCATCTGAAAGAACAACTCAAAAGATGTCATTTTAAAGGGTCATTGTGTCCCTAAGGGACATTTTATTTTTGGTTTTAACTTTTGAGCCTGCAGAATCTCCCCCAAGGAAATTTCAAAAGGTTGGCAAGTATGAATTACGGACCCTAGTATACAGCATTTCAGCAGTACTATTGTAAATATTGCTAAACCAGTATGAATTACGGACCCTAGTATACAGTATCTCAGCAGTGCTAGTGTAAATATTGCTTAACCAGTATGAATTACGGACCCTAGTATACAGCATTTCAGCAGTACTAGTGTAAATATTGCTAAACCAGTATGAATTACGGACCCTAGTATACAGCATCTCAGCAGTTCTAGTGTAAATATTGCTTAACCCAAAATCTTGGCTCACCATATTGACGATATTTTGTATTTGCAGGTCTACGCTGTCACGCCGTAAGCAGCCGGTACAGATATGAGTTATCTTGTAAACAGATGGATGAGAGCACGTGATGTGAGGATTGAGAGAATGATCTGGCAGCCAACAGCTGCACATTTATAGTGATTGATGAAATATTCCACATGTCTTCTCCAAAATTCAGAAAAGCGAAAAATATGTTCAACAAAATGCATTAACGCTAGATTTTGGAACAATGTTAAATTGGTTTTGGAATATTTTGACTGACAAATTCTACTTGAAGCTGATTTAGAATATTTACTTTTTTTTTTGTTAAATAAAAGAAATAAGAAAATCAACCAATCACATGAATGGATGTATATAGCCAATGAGAGAGCTTGTTATATAAACTCTGTATAATTCATCAAATGAATAGATACTAGTTATAGATTTGTCATTTTCATTTACCCATCATGCAAAGTGATTATATTGTGAGACTATGTGATCCTGTATGTATATTCAAAAAATTCAACAGTGTACGTTATTTTGTGTGGAGTTTTCTCCCCTTTTGCAAAATGGAGAATGCATTTTATCATAAGCTCATACAGATCCTGACCTACCTAACTCAGATATTGAGCTTTAAGTAGTGCAATATACAGAGATGAGGCTTAAAAAAATATTCCATGAGCTTTGCCGTCATGTGTTGTGGTGAATCGTTATAAGCACATTAAATGTGATTATTTGTAGCCGTGTGCGTCATCATGTAAACCTGACTATACCTTAATCTCGCAGTAGACTCGTTATCATAGTGCTGTATGTGTTGAAATATTATCTCATGTACATACTTTATCGATAAAAAAACTGAAAATAGGTCACATCTAGAGCCACAGTTGAACATTTTCAGGCTACAATTGGGAGTTTTGAAGGAATCTGGTAATGTGCTTTTGTTATTCATTGATGCTATGAAGCAGGAAGTAAATAAGTAATATGATAAATAATAAGTAAATAAGAAAAAGTAATATTGCTGTTTATCGTTAACTGTTTATCATTAAGGTAGAAATTTTTTGGTAAAAACTAATTTTACATAATATTCATTTGAAAATATCCTATGTTTGAGTTATTAGAATGTACTTAAAGTAAGTTAACAGTGCTAGAAAGAGGGACAGATTTTCTCCTGAATGGCAAACAAATATCAGTATATTGAGAATGGAACATTTGGATTTAGAAGACCCCGGGTAGCAAGTACATGTCAAAATGTTAATAATTGAATTCACACCAATTACTTATATTTTGTTTCAATCTCGATAAATACATCGGACCTACATATGAAGTACAGCGTATGTGCCAAATATGATATTAAACAAGAATAAGTGTTTTTTATGTCAAAGATTCTGTGTTAACGGCAACCAGGCACACAGCGACGTCGGTAGTGAAATTGGAATATACATATATATATATATATATCATATCAGAGGTATAGTGTTTTAAAGAAACAGTTGATAAAACAGTTAACGGTTCATTAGGTACAACAATATTGTCTAGTGACTTCCTTTACAAACAGCTGTTTGCCATATCGTACAGGCAGTGGGGAGGTATAAGATTAAACATTCCTTGTCAATTTTAATCCAGTTTTGTGAAAATATTTATTCCAACTTTGATAATACAAGCTCAGTTGTCTCCAATGTCCTGTGAATATCAAAGTAATTGTTTGATTTAAATCTATTGGTATATATTTTCGAACAGATTTATCAGATATAATGTTCAACTGGAGGAGTTGCCATGGTTAAATTCAATGCAACACAAGTTTTACTGTTTACGTAAATCTTTGTTTAATCAATTATAAACAAAATTTATTTGAGTATCTAGAAAAAAAATGTTTGTTTTAAAGTTCTTTCATGGCAATTAAAATTCATCAAAAAGGTAAAAATACATTTGAGCTGAATTTCGTAATACCCTGAAATAATGTACCGGTAATATATATAGCATTTTTAGGCTTAAGGTCAACACATGGAAGGGTTACTAGTATTTGGATGCTGGGGGCTTTGGAAGTTAACTAAGGGAGATAACACCATAAAAAAATACTGACAAAATACTTCTAAGATTCCTGCCGGCTGAGAAGATAAACTACTGCATTTTTCACATGAACTTTAATGGAATATACTTGTATATCTTTCAACTGAAAGTTATAAGGTTTATTTCTCGATCTCTTTAGAGTTATCAAATACATTATAACCATGTGATAGATTATGTAGATATATATATATATATATATATATATATATATATGGCTTTATAGATGAATTCTTTACAAACTCCATACCGGTTTAACATTCGACAATACAAATATGTAATTATTGTTTCATTTTTTGTAAATATTTCGCTTCTTGTGTTTCATTTCTGATTGTATATAAAGGACTGTGAATAGTAATTTATCATTGTAAGATATTTCTCTTGTGTTTATGTATTATTTTTGCTACCAAAGTTCCTGTAATGCGATCAACAATTCATGTTTAGCTACAGAGTTCCGTGTTTGTGAGCAACTGTTAATGTTTTACATCTTAACACCGTGATAAAAGGGTGTTTCCTTTTGTATTTATTAATATATGTTGTTACTGAATACTCAGTGATCTTTTGCAGAAATCTTATTTTTGGATATTTTCCAGTTCCTTTTTTTTATAACGCGTTGTGAGATATTTAATATTTATTATGCCTTAGTGATTTCATGTATTGTTAATGCCAGTCCTTTTAAAACATTATATAAACTATTTAAACTATTTTCCCCACCATAATCATAGATTGCAAAAGCTTGATAGAAGATTTACATTGAATGCAAAATACTGTTCATAGAAATATTTTCCATCATGAAATGAATGCAAAGTGTGATACAAGCATTCGTGGGAATTTACCTTCCCAGTTTTCGTGGTTGAAAAGAAAATCGGAACATTAGAACATAGTAAATGTCTGTACAATTTACTTGTCATTTAAGGATCCCCGTATCACTGCCCAAAAATGTTAACTATTTATGTATTGGAAACCGTTTTTATTGGCACGACTATAGATTTGATCAATCATTTCTGAAAAGAAAACCATACTGTGCATCGGACTTTGATAGGAAATAATGAAGATGAACTGAATTAAAGATTATAAACAAAAGTGTCTGAGTGATAAAAAGACAAAGAAATGATGAAGATGAAATGAATTAAAGATTATAAACAAAAGTGTCTGAGTGATAAAAAGACACCATGGAGCTAGACCCAGATTTGAACCCTGAACCTAAGGCTGCTAAACTATCCCCCTAACCAGGGACGTATAATGTCCCTACCCTAACACATTGAGCTACCTGGTCGACGGAAGTGTCCTGGCCCAATTTGCTCTACAGTTATATCCAAATGGAAGTTAAGGGGAGGTTACTGTATATAGGGAAAAACTACAGTGCAGTGGGACAGGGATCCTTAAGGAAGTTAAGGGGAGGTGACTGTATATAGGTAAAAACTACAGTGCAGTGGGACAGGGATCCTTAAGGAAGTTAAGGGGAGGTTACTGTATATAGGGAAAAACTACAGTGCAGTGGGACAGGGATCCTTAAATGGCAGAATTTACTCTCAAATATTTTACGTTGTATTACTCTGAACTGAAGTAGGTACAGAAAATGTCTCAAATTTGTGGTACATTATTCACCGTACCCTGATCTCCCCAAAAAACTTACCATATTGATTCTGCTGTATCCTCCATGTTTTTTAAGTAACATGACTCTTTAACACATTCACCCCTACACTTCTAACCTGGACTTGCCCAGTCTTTGATTTGGTAAGGTTCAAATGTGACTTTAGGGGTGAATGTGTCAAGAAAATTAAGTTGTAGTTGAAGGTTTCACAGCAATTTTATACTATTAAGTTGAGTCTTTCATAGAAAAGGGAAGTGGATTTGCTTACGTTACATTATCATTTATCATTATTTATATGTTCGTTATTAGATCCTATAGTTTATTTATGCCGTTTTTACTTGAATCTGCCTTGAAAGCTGGTTTGTCTTGTATGACATGTTTCTCAGATTGTGAATTTCGATTGTGCCAAGAAATAATTCATCATGCTTTGATCCTTAAGTTTGTGAGGGTCGTACTTTACGCGTAGAGATAAAAGTTAACAATGCTGAACACCGAATTTGAAAAACAAAGGTATGAAAAACATCGTGATAATAGTTTAACCATGTCGATCAATTTAGAATAATGTCTTTTTTATTTTAACTTATCTATAATACCGTAGAATCATGGTGTTGTATGCATCAGGTGGAAAAAAATACATAATTTCTTAAAGTCTTTCTAAATTCAGAACAAGATAGGGTGAGGCTGAAGATAGCTAGTTATGATATATGACTGATGCTGCATGGTAGAACATTTTATTATCTATTTTTATTACATTTTAGTTGCTTTCCACTGTTATTGTATGTGTATATGGTATGATACCTCAATATCATTCTTGATATACTAGCATACACAACTCCTAGTCTTCGTTTTGTTGATTTTGAGAGATGTCCTTACACACTGTACATATGGTGATATAGTGCTCACTATCAAAGTTTAGCACCATATGCTAGGGTTGATTAACTCATTCACCCCTACGATTCTAAACTGGACTTACCCAGTCTTTGATTTGGTAATGTTCAAATGTGACTTCAGGGATGAATTTGTTCATAAGAAAATGAAATATTTTGAACACTTTTTTTTTTAGTCTTACATGGTATTTTTTAATTTTTTTTTAGTATTGATTTGAAAATGCTTTTGCTCATATAAGTTTATTTACAGAACCATGTGACTGACGACCTAATACTGGTAAAAACAGTCACTGTGTCACCTTTTATACAGGTGTACCTGTCAGGTAAAAACAGTCACTGTGTCACCTTTTATACAGGTGTACCTGTCAGGTAAAAACAGTCAATGTGTCACCTTTTATACAGGTGTACCTGTCAGGTAAAAACAGTCAATGTGTCACCTTTTATACAGGTGTACCTGTCAGGTAAAAACAGTCAATGTGTCACCTTTTATACAGGTGTACCTGTCAGGTAAAAACAGTCAATGTGTCACCTTTTATACAGGTGTACCTGTCAGGTAAAAACAGTCAATGTGTCACCTTTTATACAGGTGTACCTGTCAGGTAAAAACAGTCAATGTGTCACCTTTTATACAGGTGTACCTGTCAGGTAAAAACAGTCAATGTGTCACCTTTTATACAGGTGTACCTGTCAGGTAAAAACAGTCAATGTGTCACCTTTTATACAGGTGTACCTGTCAGGTAAAAACAGTCAATGTGTCACCTTTTATACAGGTAAACAGTTTGTATTTATTTTTGTGCAGTTAATTCAATATATATATATAAATATATAGAAGATTGAAAGAAAAAAACACTTTTCAGCAGAAAAAATATGAAATTCATTTGCAGACTTGACATATTATCATTTGATTTTAATATTATCAGTTGCAGTTTATGCTTTCCTTGCCATTTAGTTATCATTTAGATGACTTACTTATTTACATTTTTTTTTTTACGATTGGCCATGACCAAATTGTTGCTTATATTCATTCTGAGTTTTGTGTTTTGGAACATCATGTCTGGGCCAGATAAATTGGTCGATAGTTTATCTCAAGTTCGGAGATCTCCTTTTAAATCATCGGTCTGGTCTTAACTGCACATGCATTTCCCGTACTAAAAAGGGAGAACTCGGGAGAGTGAAAGAGCAGTTTAGCATTTAACATCAATATAGCCATTATCCCAATATTTTCCACCAAACTTGTGTAGATTTAGATAAAGCAAGCTTAATAGTTTAAGTTTAACAGTTAGAAAACCTGTGAAATTCTCAGACAATTTACTATTATGAAGTTATAGTGTGGTTGTGTACAAGGCGAGAATTGAGTTCGTAATTCCAGCAACAAAGAAGAACAGCACAGTGAGAACAAAGATGTTTCTAAATTTAATGTTCTTGTTTTTTTGCAAAAAAGTTCTAGTTCTGTTGGGTTTTTTTTTGGTTTTTTTAGGTCACCTGAGCTTTAGCTCAAGTGACCTATTGCTATCCGTTTTCGTCCGTCGTCGTCCGTCGTCCGTTAACATTTTACATTTCAAACTTAAAGTCAAGTTCTGCTGGGCCGATTGAACTAAAAGTTGGTAGGAATGATCGCCTCATGGTCCTGACAAAGTGTTGTTATTTTTCGGGTCGATCAGAAATCCAATATGGCCGCCACGGCCGCCATTTTGAAAACCTATTTTAAACTTAAAGTCAAGTTCTGCTAGGCCGATTGAACTGAAAGTTTGTAGGAATGATCAGCTCATGGTCCTGACAAAGTGTTGTTATTTTTCAGGTCAATCAGAAATCCAATATGGCCGCCACGGCCGCCATTTTGAAAACCTATTTCAAGCTTAAAGTCAAGTTCTGCTGGACCGATTGAACTTAAAGTTTGTAGGAATGATCGACTCATGGTCCTGACAAAGTCTTGTTATTTTTCGGGTCGATCAGAAATCCAATATGGCCACCACGGCTGCCATTTTGAAAAACTATTTCAAACTTAAAGTTAAGTTCTACTTGGCCGATTGAACTGAAACTTTGTAGGAATGATCGAACATGGTCCTGACAAAGTGTTGTTATTTTTCGGGTCAATCAGAAATACAATTTGGCTGCCATGGCCGCTATTTTGCTACTAAGTTCTAATAGGCCGATCTCACTTAAAATTGGTATAGGAATGATCAGCTCATGGTCCTGACAAAGTTAAGTTAACATTACACTATTTTTTACTCAAATTGGTACATATTTCAACAACAAAAATAAATACTGTAGACTCAGGTGACCGTTAAGGCCCATGGGCCTCTTGTTTTTTGTTAATTTGGAAACCTTTTAAACCATTAAATCAGACACCATGATTGGAACAAATTTGTGAAGAATATTACTGGCTTGACTGTCACAGATACCTCTAGTTATATTTAGTGAGGTATTGGCACATGTAGGTCCATTAAATTTAATCTGTAAAAGGATGTGCTTATGGTTGTATAATAGGACAAATTGTTTTAACTTATTCACCCCTGAAATTTCATTATGAACTATTCAAACTTTTGAATGGGAAGAGATTAAATGTGTCTTCAGGGGTGAATGAGTGAAAGTCTGGTGGAAACCCAAGCAATCCAGAAGTCTATGTAAGCTGTCAGTCAGGTTCCATGCTTAGTTAAATGTTTTTACGTCCCGTGTGATCTGAATCCATGATACAAAAATTGCTCCCA